ACTATGCGTAATTCAATTCAAAAATCCGCAATATTGCAGATTTGAAAAAACAATTGCAGTACCATCCTTAACTATATCATAATTATATTATAAATATATTAAATTGATAATATCAAATCAATATCAAATCAATATTATTAAGATATGAATATTGATATCGATTAAATGTTGATACAATATTATTATGGTAAAAATTTAATAATTTATGAAATATATTACAAATTTAAAAATAATATTATTATACAATTTTAATTTAATTTTATTTAATAAAAATCTAATAATATATAAAATTAATAAAAATAAAAATATTTAAATATAATTAATAAATTATGTTGCTATAAAATAAAAATCATTTTTAATACATTTTGTTTTATTATAATTAATAAAATGTACCTTTTATATACTATCAATTACATTAATTAGAAAATATATCTTCAATTTTTTGTTGTAAATTAATAAAGAGAACATTTTAATAATGAATATTCTTTTTCAAAATTTTCAAACATATCATATCTTGAATGGTAACAAAATTATTAAGATATAAATAAACTTTTGAAAAGTTACCATTGTTTTCTTCAATTGTATATATTTTATTTAAATATCCATTTAAGTATCCATCTAAAAACCTATTCAAATGTCTATTCAAGTTTCTATTTAAGCTTCCATTCAAGAATCTATTCAAGAACCTGTTCAAATAACAATTCAAATTTATAAAGAATCTAAGCCTAAATCTCTAGTAGATGCTAATATTCAAAAACTACCTTTAAAAAATTAACCAGTACATATTAGATTAACTATAAATAAGCGTTTAAAAGAAAGTCTTAAAGAATAGACACTTATCTTACAGATAGAATGATAAGCTTACTAGTATAAAGTAAGACCAAAGCTGGTTAAGATTATGAAAAAAACTTCAAGAAAATGTTGAAGTCAAATATAATAATTTTATTATAAGTAATCCAGAAGTATGGCAAGAAAGTAAATGTATAAAAAGTCATCAAGTACAAAAGAAATGAAAAAATAATGGAATTTTAGGATATATTCAACTAGAGTCTATTTGACCAAATCCAGTTCTAGAAGTTGATTCAAAAGCTAGTCTAGGATCTAGAATACAGATTCATAAAAAAGATAATAAATCTAAGAATTTAATTAATAAAGAATTTATTCTCTTATAAGAAATTATAAATAAACAAAAAGACACCTAGATTTAGAGAGCAAGAAGAATTATGCAAACACTTAAATGAAAAGCTATAGTTGTATATCATGCAAAAATTCTCAAATCACATCTAGATAATGAAAGTGATATATGAAAATATTAGAAAGCTAAAGAAAACAGTTTAAGAAAGTACTTAAAAAGGAAATTGATAAGTGTTGATAATTCAAATTTGTTTTATACTTACTTACCAAATTGTTTATGATGATAAGCCTAGAAGTGAAAAGTCTAGAAAAGAAAAGAATTCATGAAAAGATTGGTTTAAAAATTAATAAATTATAGTTTACATTCAAGCTAAAATAGATTAAAGCAGTGCTTTTGAGCAATTTTATATTAAGTGAAGAAAAGAGGGGATAAGTCTAATGCTTGAGAATATATAAAATATATTTGGATGGTAACATTATATTTGGTAAAATAATTTTGAGATTTTTTATTACAAAAGAATGTTTAAAGCCATTATAAAGTTTATAAAGAACTGGTTGATTTTTTTTATCAAATAAAATCAATCATAAAGACTTCAGAAGACCAATTGCAACTAGTAACTCTTTTTCTTTAACCTTCTAATTTACCAGATTCTAAGAGATGATAAATTTCAATATAGTTAGCACTAGTCGAATAGTACATTTCTGGTAAAAATCAGATAATCAGATTTGGGCTGAAATTATATTTAAAGTCAACTGATTTTAAATAAATTCTGAGCCGAAATTCAACTGATAAACATAGTTGATTGGCACAGTTCATACGCCTCTCAACTATCTTTAGGCTTCAGGAATTAGCTTTTATTTATGAAAAAATCAGTTAATGTTTACCCAAAATCAGTATAATATTTCGTTAACATAGATAAAGTATAGACAAAAAATAGACTAATGATTAGTCTAAAATTCAATCTTATATCATGTAATATTTTTGGCATTCAACTATCAATCATATATTTATATTAAATTATATTACAGATTTTAATTTTATTATTAAATTAGCTATTAAACAGCAATTATTAAAACTATATTTATTCTATATATAATTTACATTAAAATTATTTAATAATCGTCTAATAAAAGCAAAAAAAAAACACATTAAATCGTCTAAAAAGCAAAAAAAAAATCAATTTTCAAAACTTAATCATTACCAATCGATTCTTCATCTTCAGTTAAATATTCGGGAAAATCATTAGGTATATTTATGCGTTGGTCTTGAGAATCTGCTTTTCATACAGCACATCTAACCATACCAGTTGTCGTAGACTCACCATGTTGATACTCTTCTTCTGCATTATAATTAAGCACGATATCATAATTGCTGGGTACCCAAATTTTATCTATGCTATCGTTGATTAAAAAAAAACCTTAATTTCAAATTTTCTAAAGTAACCAGATTAAAAATTTCTTTTTTTTGATATTATATACCTTCTATTGAAATCTGATTGATTTTCTCGTTTGCAATCCCAACTCAGCACATTTTTTGGTGGTGATTGTTCTTTGTAGAAGTGAAAATCATCATAAAGCTGAGTTCTTAACAACTGGGATGATTGTTGGAATAATGCCTGTTTTTTGAAAACATCACTTAAGAGATTCTTTAACTACATTTATAAAAGAAAAGTTAGTATTCAGAATAACAAATATATAAAATCATAAAATATTCAATGAATCTCATTTGAATGCCAGAATAATAAGCAGTATTCTAAAACATTTTTATAATCTCTTCCCAGTTGTATTTTGAGACTTGAACGTCTTACTCGTTAAATAAACTTTTTGCTTCTCTTATTCATTAATCTCTTTTTTATATATATAAAAAATGAATATTAAAAATTATTAACGAAATAAAAAATAAGTGAATTTCATACTTCTAATACTCAATTATTATTGTGTATCCACCTGTTGGTCTGATCTTGAACTCCTTTATATGCTAATAAATAGCTATCTCTTTGGTGTTTATGTAAAGTATGAAGCCACTTTTTTAATTTGAGGTATGAAGGATTATAACATGGCCGTAATGATCTCAAGAATTCTGGAACTAATTTATTCTGGATTTTCTTATTATCTACGCTGTTAAAAACTTTATTGTATTTCATTTCATATTCTGACGATAATGTTTTTAATATTTCTTTTATCTCAGTCTAATACAAGAAGAAATTGGTAAATATAGTAGATAAAATTCATTATAACATATTAAAAGGAACGAATCTGCAAACCCTTGCTACTTCATCATCTGATTCTTGGGATTCAACATGTATTTTTTGACTTTGCCCTTCGATTTTGATATAACCTTTATCTTTTTTTGGTTGAGAGACCTCTTTATCATCAGCATTCAACATCGCATCATCATCTGTCAAAACTGTTGATCGTGATATTTAACAGAATAATCGGTAAAGCAACTTAGATTGCTCAAATTCCGCCTTCAATTTATCATTAATTCCTTCAAGTTCTTTATTTACAAAAATTAATGCATCGTTCTCTGCCTTAAAGCGTTTCATATCTTCTGTAATTTTTTCAACTTGCCTGAAAGAATTATTATGTTAATTCTGCCAGAATCGAGCTTATTCTTTCCAATGATTGATTTCTTTTCTTAACTCTTCATTTTCTAGGTAAAATTAAGAAGTCGACAGAATTTAGTATGTGTAAAAAATAAAGTATTTATATTATTAGTAGATTAGATTAGTGATAATCATTTTAGTAGATTAGATTAACCTTCAATAAGCTTGTTGCCAGAGCCGATTGTAATACAAGTATTTGATATAGGTTCATTATCTTGATTGTCTACAATTTCAATATAGTTGATACCCGAATACTAGAATCTCTTCCTTAAAGGTTTTGGATAGCTTTCTCCCTCTTTGATCGGTTGTTCATTAAATTATGATTTTTGGCATTCAATCTCTTTCTTTGACGTTATGTTGTTGTAAGAGAATGATGTAGAAATTTTTTTTGAATATTTGTTGTTCGCTTTTTGACATTGAGGAGAATTAGTATTCTCTTCTGGTAAAACAGGCGTTGCTGTGTGAGAACGACATGGAGAATTTTTTGGATGTTTGTTGTTTTGTGGTTGCTTTACAAAACGAGTCATTATGTACCTATGTTATAATTAATTTAACAAGAATAAGAGAATAAGAAGACGGTAGTTTGGAAAAAGGCTATCTTTTATGTGATTAAAAATAAACTTTTCCATTGAATAATAAAATAAACTTTTACTACAATAATAGTATAAAGGAAAATAAACTATTTTATACGCTTGTTGATATTTTTTTTTTCTATATATATGCAAAATTAATAAATTATAACTTGACCAAATAAATTAAAGTTCATCCTTTAACTTTACAAAATGTCTAAAACAAGAACAAATTCTAACAATAATCATTCACAACTAAATTCAAATTATCGTAAAAAAAGACTAAAAGAAATATGTTATTGTAATCGATGCAATGGTACATTAGTTGATTTACGTACAAAGTAAAGACATAAATATTTCATGATCGATAGGCCATCAGAAGATCAGATATATCCTTTTTTAGAAATGCTGGATAATTCTTTAGATATTTTGTCTAATACTCAAGATGTTTTAATTCAATAAGAGTCAGATAATTTGCAACTGTTATTGTGAGATATCATAATCAAACAACAAGAAATTCAGCAATATATAGAACAAATGGTGAACGAAAATTCTCATGAAGGAGAGAACCAACAAATATTTGAAGATGCAAACATTGATCCTATACCTCGAAAATGTGTAAGATATGCAAATCGAAACATAGAACTTTCTGCTGAAAGTTCTAATTATTAGGATTCTGAAGTAAATGAGACAGATGACAGCGAACATTCTCTAAGTGATAATAAATTGAATAATGATCATATTGCTAAAACATTTGAAGACTATTCATATCCTTCATTTATACCATTTCAAGGGCCAAATAACACACAATCGAAAAATAATGATAAATTTTTATGGATATTAATATGGATAATGAACTTTCGTATAAGGTTTAATTTACCAGAAATGGCCACGGAGTCACTTATAAAATTTATGAAGCTTGTATTAGAAGAAACTGGCAGTTTTGAATTCAATTCTTTTCCTAATTCACTTTATTTAGCAAGAAAAATACTTGGCTTACAAGATAGCTTTCATAAATTTGTGGTATTTCCGAAATGCCACAAGTTATATGATAAGCAAGAAGTTAATGAATTTCAGGAAAATAATGTTCCATCTATCATGAAATGTAACCATGTTAAATTTTCCAATTCAGCAACATATAGGTCCAAACAGCCTTATCTAAACAAAAAAAATATTAAGTGGTCAAATTACAAATATCCCAAATCTGATTTATCCATTTATTGGAGTTCATCAACAATTGGAAGCCTTATATCATCGGCCTGACTTCAAAAAATCATTTCGGTACTGGACAAATAGATCAACATTTGACAATATATTAGCTGATATATATGATAGACAAGTTTGGCAAACATTCAAAGAAACAAGGAAAGATGATTCACCAAATTTTTTTCGAGAAGAAGTTGTCGATTCACATTTTAGCTTAATGTTAAATCTTGACTGGTTCCAACCCTATAATGGAATATTTCATAGCACTAGTATATTAAATGCTGCAATATGCAATTTGCCAAGAGATATTCAATTTCAACGAGAAAACTTACTTATTTTTGTCTTATTACCTGGATCAAATGAAGTAGGTTTACATAAAATAAATTACTATTTAACACCTATTATTGATGATTTAGAGTTACTTTGGACTGGAGTCACTCTAAATCATACATTCAAACATCAAGAAGGAAGAAACATCAAAGCTACTCTGATCCTCATTTCATGTGATATTCTTGCTGCAAGGAAGATTTGTGGGCATATCTCAGCACTTGTTTCATGTTATCAGTTTGAAAAATGTGCCAATTATGAGAATAAACAACATAATTTTACTGGAAGGATGATATGAATGAATGGTTTATTTTCCGAAATTTGACCAAACATCATCAGAATGCTTTAGGGTGGAAACGCTATAATTCAAACATGGTAAGAAAACAATTTGTAAAGCTAACTGGAGTTAGATACTATGCCTGCCGTATTTTGATCCAATTAGGTTTATAACTATCAATCCAATGCATTGTCTATTCTTAGGTATTGTAAGATGGATAGTAAAATGAATATGGATTGAAGAAGGTGTTTTAACACCAAATATATTGAAAAAAAGTCCAGAATAAAATGAATAAATTTCAAGTGCTGGCTGATGTAAGTCGTATTCCTGGAAAAATTGATTATGGTGAAGGTTTCTCAAATTTCACAGCTGATTTATGATAGATATTCTTTACTATTTATGCCACTGTATCACTTTGGGAGTATCTTTATGATATGGATAGAAAGATTCTTACATATTTTGTAAGAATTTGCTCGATTTTGGTGAAACAAATTGTAGAAACTGTTTCCATAAATGAAGCTCACCAAAAGTTAATTGAGGTCGTAAAATTAATTGAAAGACATTATAGTTGAGATAAGATTACACCAAACCTTCACCTTTCACTATATTTATATGAATGTTCATATAATTTTAGACCTCTTTATACCTTTTGGTGCTTTTCATTTGAGCGTATGAATGATGTGTTAGGTAAGAGAAATTTAAAATTTTACATTTATTATATAGCTGTCATTCTAATTATCTAATTCTTTTAGGTTCTTTGCCAAATAGTCATTAGCAAATTGAGCCAGAAATTATGCGCAGACTGATATTTGATAATAAAATCAAAGAGATCGTGAATTCTGGAATAGAGATGAAAGGATTTGAGTTACTAAATCAACGGCCATCTGTTAGGTCTGTTTCAGAAACAGACAAATTTTCTTTCGATGATATGCATTGATTTTGGCTTAATTCTATAAATATAAGAGAATCAGTCATCACAGAAAGTGAACTATTTTCAGGTAAAATGCTGAAACCTTCTTCTGAAAACATTAAGCTTCCAAATTTAATGCTTGATTTAATAGTTGAATATTATATGGCAACCTATGAATTACTTGAATTTCAGAAGCTATTTGGAAAAGGACCATTAGATGCAATAATTATTTGGATCAAAATGAACCATTTGGATGGTGTCAGATTAGTTCCGAAGTTTTTAGTTTAATGTTGTTTTCACCATATATAAAAAGCTCTTATATATTAGCAAAATTTGTGATTAAAGATGATATCAATTGCTATTCTGAACAAATACAGTACTTTTTTACACATTTAGTTGATTTACCTAATGGACCATCTGAACATTACCTGGCATACATTTCATGGTATCACCCTGCAGATTCGACAAGTATAAGGTATTATTTCAGTGTTGATAATGATTAAGAGACTTGTAATGTCGAATTATGGTGTACTGACTTTTATCCTGATAGTTGTGATTGTATAGTACTGGTATACCATATTCTCAGTTGATTCATTCTAGTAAAGTACAAAATTTCAAAGTGGCAAAATACGGTAAAATACTTGGCTATTAACTTGATTAGCAGAAAATATCACATTCGTTAAATTTCATATAGTTTTATTTATTACGAACTTTTACATATTATTAAACATCGATTGAATCTTTTTTTTACAAATTTTAAATTTTAATAATTTATTTACGAATTTTAATGATTAAATTTGAAACTAAGTATTTAGCAATCGACCATAAAACAGTAGATTCTAATTTCTGTTGATTTTAGCTAATTCTTAATATCGACCGATATTATGATGAAATTTTTTGTCAGTATGACTGGAAGTTAACTGATTTTACTAATTGCCAAATTTTCTTATTTTGACTAGTGTAGGTAAAAGTAGTTTATTATATCCAACTGGTATTCTATATTTTACAGCAAGCTTAGCTATTATTTTTTTGCTTTTTAATGTTTTTTTTATAATTTTATTAGGAAACATTCCTATTAATCAGATAGGAGTATTATTGAAAATCTCATCATTTATATTAAGTTCTTATACCTATTCTCTAGATCTATTAGTTAAAGATAAATATAAATTTTTAGCATCTTGACATATAAAAACATATTTCTCAAATTTTTCTTGATTTCATTTAGCAATAATTATATTTTGTTTAGAATTCGTATACTGAATTCTTATATTATGGTTGAGTAATAAATCCTATATTCACTATAATAAAATCTTCTAACAAATAAGAAGGCAATTTGGATCATAATAATTTTTTTGAATTTCCTTAACCATTTATGCAAATGTTTTATTAGTTAAAGCAAAGCTACATTGAAATCTAGTAGTTATATCTTTAATTATACCTCTATACTTATAAATTTAATTGTCTACTTTGTCATGAAACATAAACATAGTATCGAATTAATGCACTTTATTTAAAATTTATATATCGTTAAAAGAAGAATATTGGATAAACTTTGGTTAAGACATATGAATTTAATGCACAGCTTATCTCTTAAGTTAATCACACACGTTATCTAGTGTAAAATTATACCTAGCATCTTATGAAGTAATAAGCAATTTTTTACAGTCTTCTGATAACCTGAAGACTGATAATTAATCTTCTGTAAAGCAATAGAAATATCAAGTTATCGAGTTTCACCTGAATCTATATGAATTATAGGAATTAATATTTTTTTACTCATATGCATTTGAAAAAAGACCAAAATTAATACATTAATATTTAAAATGTCTAAAGTCAAATTTCTTTAAAATCCTATTCTTCTAAAGGAGTAGGGCAAAAATGGGGTTTCTGGGACAGATTTCGAAATAGCATTCAAAAAAGATTCCTTTGTATTCATAAAAGATTCCTAACCGCCCGCAAACCCATTTTAGCTATATGAATCAATTATTAAATTCAAACTTCTAGCGCATTTTAACTCAATTCTAAATAATGTTATCAAACTTGACTAAGAATTAGCCTGTCTGATACTAAGAATTACAATATTTGATTTAACCATTCTAGCCGATATTAATCCCAAATAATATTTCAAAAAAATTTTACTATTCTGTTTGCCTCAGGAGGGGCCATCGAAAATCAAGAAATAAAGTGACGTGATTTAAGTTGGGCCTGATATTATAAACCCAAATTTAATAATAACTTTTATGCTATTCTACTTGCCTTTGGAGAGACAATCGAAAATCAAGGAACAAAGTGACATGATTTGAGTTAGGCCTGACCATGCAAGCCCAAAATGTATACCATTTGCTAAGTCTAACCTCGAAGAGGTTTGATTTAGCTGTTATCTAATTTGCAAATCAAAAGCTTAATGATTATGTTCTAGCACGTTATCAATTTATCAATATATAGGAAACCATTCTAAAGCCATTTCCTTTACACAAACCTAAGACAAAAAAGTCTAATCTTTTGTATACCTATATGTAAAATCTAACTGCAAAAAAGTCTAACCTTTCAATTAACTATATAATAAATCTAACTTTTACTAAAAGTCTAACCTCTTGAACACATATCAAACATCAGGACCTTATCCCGAAGTCTATTAACATATTGAATCATATAATAGCCCTTAATATGAAGACGACAATGACCACAAAATGACCCAGTAGGCTTATCACAAATAGGGATAAAATGGGGTTCTGGGGTAAAATCGAAACAATACCCAAAATAGATCTTCAAGCCTTTTTCCAATCAATTCTAGCTATATGAATCAATTATAGAATTAAAGCTTCTAGCCAATTTTAACTCAATTCTAGATAATGTTATCGAACTTGACTAGGAATCAGCCTGTC